AGACTTGCAAGGTCGAATTCGAGTCATGGTAGTGGGAGCGGGGAGGAAACATTTAGGAACTAGAGGAAAGTTGTATTTCTCATCGTTGTTACAAAATGTATTTTTTAGGTTACAATTTAACACTGCATATTTGATCTCCCTTTTGACTCATTTTAAATTTGTTCTAGTTTTGAATGTTTTCTGCTTTCAATTGAGGTTTTTGTTTTATCTTGTTACTGTAGACTTTTTGAGTGTTGTGTATTTCTGCTTGTTTGTGTGTATGTTTGTCTGTATGAGATCAAGGATAAGTAAATCTATAGAGACAATAACTGGATTAGTGGTTTCCTGTGAGCATAGCAGGGGAGATTGGGGAGAAATGGGGGGCTTGGTAACAAATACGTACACGGAAAATGCTCTAAAATGTATTGTGGTGATATTTGTGTAACTCTTCTTAATATGGTTGAACTACTGAATTGTACAATATGTGGATTATATGCCAATAAAACTGTCAAATAAATAAATAAATAAAAATTTAGAAATTGATTGTTGTGGGTTTAAGCAACAATAAAAAAGTGAGCAGAAAGAGAAGGCCCTGACTGCCACCAAGAAACCAGGGCCAGGAGCAGAGTGTACGTCCTGGCCTGAAGGCCCGTGTGCTCCTCAGCCCAAGGGAAGACTGGTGCCAAGATGAAGGGAGATCTCCGAGTGACGCTGGGTCTACAAATTTTGAAAGAAGACAAAGCCCTTTCCTTAGACCTGAAAGAGCTAGAAAGCCTTCCCTTCGAGCTGGTACTCGGAATTGGTATTTCTAGCCTCCGAAACTGATTGAGAATAATGTGTGTCTGCTACAGTCACCTGTGTGGTATTTGTCACAGCAGCGTTACAGAACTAAGACACTAACACCAGCAACATCAGGTGGCTTAAGAACCACCAAGAAGGCCTTCTTCGGCAGGACCACTTCCCAGTCCCACGCGTCCAGCAGGGGGAATCAAAACCAGAGTCTGGGTGCAAGTGTGTTCGATGTTCCTGCTTGAATGTGACTCAGAATTTATTGCTTGAGGTGTTGCTATTTGTTTAAAAGGTCTGTTCATGTGTTCAAAAAATGCCCTTCTAGTAGTTTCTTCCCCATGACTGAGGACATTTCTATCAGGCAAATGATAAGTTTAATTCACTTGCCTCCTCCTAATGTGGGTTATGAAATATAAGTGTGAAAATTCAGTATTACCTGGTAACTAGTTTAGGTAGGAGCCCCGGTGGCGAAGCGATTACACATTGGGCTGCGATCTGTAAGGTCGGCAGTTTGGAACCACCAGCCACTTCCGGGGAGAAAGCCAGGGCTTTCTACTCCCATAAAGAGTCACAGTCTCTGAAACTCACAGGGACTGTGCTGCCTTGTTCTACCGAGTCGCTATGAGTGGGCACTGATTGACTCAATGGTAGTGGGTTTTGCTTTGAGTTCAGATGTACTGTGAGAATGCCTCCCTTGAGGGTAAAAAACACATTGCTTGTGCACTTAAATAACCGAGGTTGAACTGGCAATGTCTAAATCTCCCATTGTTGCCGGCACTCTGCGCAGCCCTGGTGGCACTGTGGGCTAAGCATATGGCTACTAACCACAAGGTCGCAGTCATTCCAAGGAAGACGAAGAGGCCGTCCGTCTGCTCCTGTGAAGATTTACAGGCTCGAATTCTCTGCAGGGCTGGCGTGAGTCAGAAACAACTTGGTAGCAGTGGGTTGATTTTGTGGATATGATAATCCTAAGAGCTGAAAATACACTTATTCATAAATGCATGTCACACTTTTTTTTTTAAATGTTATACTTTATTCGAATCTCTGAGTCCCTGAAGTTCTCCTCCTTGTCCCCTCCTCAGGGTTCCAGTTTTACCAATATGGTGGAGACAGGGAGCTAATGTCACACTTTGCTTCTCAGGCTGGCAGGCAGCCTCTCAGGGGCCGTTTCAAGCTTCCGACTTGCCAATGGGCAGTGCAGAGTACGGAGACCCTCCGCAGTCCTGCTCCGAGCTCCGCGGGAGCAAGGAGGCCAGCCTTCAGCAAGCACACAACCCTACCCCACCTTTCTCTTTTCAGCACCCCGATTTAAAAGACTCAGAGGGGTGACTCAGCCACAAGCATGAAAATCACATGAAGTAGCACTGAGATCATTCCTAACAAAGGGCCATTTGTCCAGCACGAGAGAACTTGGATATTAGCAATGCTTTAAAAAACAAAGTTTAAAAAATTTCCATTCCTGAGAAAATTAACTTGCCAGGTGCTGTTTACACGCAGTGGTTCTCAACCTTCCTCATGCCACGACCCTTTAATACAGTTCCTTATGTGGTGGTGACCCCCAACCATCAAATTATTTTCATTGCTACTTCATCACTGTAACTTTGCTACTGTTATGAATCGGACAACCCCTATGAAAGGGTCTTTTGACTCCCAAAGGGGTCGTGACCCACAGGTTGAGAACCATTGGTCTACAGGGACTGCCTGCCCTTCTTTTACTACTAGACAGTTAAAAAACAAAACAAAACAAATGCCAGCTATTTTCTTTACTATTAAAAATACTATTTATTGACAGAGCAGGTCGATTATCAAAGCAGACATTCGGTTTTTGAAAAATCCCTTTACAATTAAAAGTTAAAGGGTTTTAGTCTTTAATGATAAAAAAAGCGCACAACCCAAACACGCACATAAACCTGATCCTCTAGCAAGCTTGCGTATGTACAGTAGGCAGGAAGACCCCCGCTGCTCAGCACTGGGAGCTTTGGCCAGTTGCAAGTCCTTCCTCCGTGTGCTGACACAGCAGGCGCAGAACTCACATCATGAAAGAAGAGCGCCGTCCGTGAACTTTGATTATATGGTTTCCACCCCAAGGGCTGCCCAGGCTTGAGAGCTGCAGAGAGTAAGGTCGCATGGTGCCTAGCCTGAAGGAGCTGGGCCCCTGCTCCAGCTGAGGGTCCCCTGGGGAGGGCTGCTCCTCGAGCCCTCCCTTTACGGAAGAGTCTCGTCGTTGTTGTTGTCATCGTGCTGCATGATTCCTGCTTTGCAGACATGCTCCTAACACAGGAAAATGGTTAGCCTGAAAACGGAACACTGAAAAAGAAAGAAAGAAAGAAAAAGGGATGTGTAAGTAAAATCGTCTTTGGGTCTCTGCTCCCCTTTGGCATGAAATGATGTTCATGAAACAAGAAAAGGTTCTCTCTCCTTCCAAGAGGGCACACCAGGTATTGGTGTCAGCTTCCTTCTTCCACAAAACGAGAAACCGGTTTCTGGAGGAAGGATGCTAGGGGCCAACGAGATCGGAAGCAAGATGCCCCAGCTGTGGGCTGCACGTGCTCAGGGTCTGAAATAGGAACTACGTGCAATGCTCACTCTCATCAACAAGCCGGCATGAATGTTTCTCAGCAGAGGCAGCTGCTTAGACTTCCTGCTCTCACTGGGGCTCAGAAACATCCCGATGCTTCTGCAAAGGACCTCTGAGAGCTCATGCAGACACTCTGCATGTCAAAGGAAGGTCCTAGAGAAGTCACAAATGCACGAAGCACTTTTCTGGTTCCTATGCTTTCCTCCCAATCCTGAAACTGCACATCCAGCTTAGTTTCCAGACAGCCATTCAGAGGAAATTCTGAGACTCTAACTCTGATTCAGATTTTGATTTCTAAAGCTAAATATACTTATTCCCTTCCTCAGATTGAAAATTCCAGGTCTTGAGGATGGGAATTTGGAAGTCTGCAACTCTCTCACAAGTCTTTCCTCTCTGACTCTGATTAAACTGAGAAGGTATGCATAAATGGGTCAGGCGAAAGGGAAAGCGGTCCAGCTCAAACAAGACCTGGCCTTGGCCCCACATTATCAATGTTCCCAAGTTAACTATTAAGTACCAACTGCGATATAAGGTAAGATAAACAAAGGTGACTTACCCATGACCACACTGATGACTGAAGTTGGCTTTTGTTTTCTTCAATTACTTACTAAGGCATTTCCATCAGCTGACTCTTCTGAGACTTCTAAGATCTACAAAACAATCCACCAATTAGAACCCAGATGAGAACCAGAAAACGATGAAGATGAGGGGGAGGGGGATCTAGCAGAAATGCCTCTCAAAGAGCTTAGGTAATGAATGAACTACAATGAAGTAATTCTATACAATGACCAAATGTTCTTCAACAATTCATATTCATGTTGTTTCAATGTCTCTGATTGGGATCATTATTTTCTTTTCCACAGCATGAGGACATCATGTTTGGTAGGAGTGAGAAAGAGGAAGACCCTCAACAAGAGGGGCTGACATAGTGACTCAACAATGGGCTCAGGCAAGGGACAGCTCAGGACGGCACCGGACCGGGCAGTGTCTGCTTCCGCTGTGCACAGAGTGGCTATGGGTTAGAACTGACTTGATGGCACCTAACAACAACAGCAACAACAACAACATACACGTGGACCTCACTACATGGAATACATAGGAATTAAACCGACTACCTCTATGGAAAGAGACAAGGAGAAACTTATCACTAATGAGGAGGCGGCCAGGAACCCACTGCAGAACAGACTATCAATTGCTTATAGGCGAGTTCAAGCTGAAGCAAAGAACATTAAAATAGGTGAGTTCCAGTATGGTAGGAGACTAGACAGACACACGATCCAGACCCTTTAAAACAAAGATTGAAAAACGAAATAGGAGAGACATAAATGATCATCCTGGAACCCTGGGCTTCAGAGGGAAGGACAGAGAAGAGGACTGAATTCCAACTAGGTGCAGAAGTAAAGAAAAAAAGATACAAAAGGGGAGACAGACAGAAATGGTGAACTGTCAGCTGACCTGACATAGCTTGGCCATTTTGAACTGTTGGAAGCAGGGTCAATAAGATAGTGACTTGATAGTCTCCTTTAACTTCCCAGGACAATAAAGTACCCTACTGTTTATTGGCTGGAAACCAGAAATGGAACTCCCCTTTGCTACTCATACTCTCTTGGTGACCATTCTCAGTCACCTGCCAGGCTTTCCCCATCGCACGTCAGGTGCACCAGACCTCCGTGTCTGGAGGCTCACAAAATGCACCATCTCAAACGAGTAAAGCACAAAGTGCTGGATCAGCAAGCAGGAACTCCTAACAATGGCCACCCTGCCTCTGGCTGCCCTCAGGAATGGAAAGCATCCCTACCCAACACTTTCTAGGCTAGTAGGAACTCTGTCTAGGACCAGCTGTTCCATTCTTTCTGCCTTCCCGCTCACTCCCATGACCTACATGGCTGGGAAGGGCTATTGATCCTTACTGGTGCCCTGATCCCCCAGTTTTCTCCTATCTTTGTTTTTCAAAACTTTCTTTTCCTAAGCATCTGCAGGTTCCACACGTGGGTTAAGCTTCGGGTGAATCCCCTCTGACCATAGCTCAGGGTTTTGAATAGTCTTGTTACTGATAAAGTCGATTATGGCAGATGGAATCAGGTTACAATTTAGTATCTTATCATTTGATCTCCCTTTTGACTCATTTTAAAGTTGTTTCAGTTTTATTTACTTTTCAATTATAGGGGGAAAATACACAGGGATATTTAGCCTCCAGTGAATCCCCTTTGACCACAGACCAGGGATGTGAACAGCCTTGGTATCATGCAAAGAACATTGGCAAGTAGATCACTATAGATTAAATTAAGTTAAAAGTTAACAACTTATCATTTGATCACCCTTTTGACCTATTCTAAATTTGTTCAAGTTTTTAATGTTCTCTGATTTCTTTTTGATTGAGGTTTTTGGTTTTACTTTATAGAGACAGTAACTGGACTAATGGTTTCTTAGGGTTATGACAAGGAAGACTGGGAACAAATGGAGAGCTAACAACAATGCACAAAAGAAAATGTTCTAAATGATGGTGGTGGTACCTGTACAACTCTTAATATGACTGAATAACTGTAATTGTATATGTAAATTACATACCAATAAAAATTGTCTTAAAAACCCACGATTTTCCTTTCCTGTCTGTGTTTTCCTTCTCTTTGCTTTCCTCATCCTAGTTTTGCCTATTGTTGTATTTTATCTCATTTTCCTTTTTTTTCTGTGTGTTTTTAGTTATTATTTTTCTTCATGTTCTCTGCTTGTTTTCCACTAGTTTTTTTCCTTTCTCCTTCTTTTCTTTGCTGCTGCTGTTTACATTTTTGTCTCACCTGGGGGGAGGCAGCAACCACAGGAGTAACTCTGTAGCCCCACCCACTGGATTATGACAAATACCTGCTTCCATACCACCTGATCATCAGTAGGCCATGCCAACCACAGCCAAACCTGCCACCAACTGTACTACACTTGCACTCACATTCTCTATCACATCCACCAGGAGAAAAGCACCTACGAATATGCCAACAATCAAATGTGAATACACCACCGTCATCAGGTCTTGGAGACAGCGGATGATGTCTGTCCACACAAAGAACAGGACAGTGACTTACACCAGTGACCGAACTACAGTCAGAAGACCTTTCGGAGGAGAAAACAATCGTGGACCTACCGCACAGACATTCAAGAGTGATGTGCACGTACCTTCAACGCAAGAGACAAAGACTGAGAAACATGCTTACAAAAATCATGGAAAAAACAGACCAAATTTTGTAAGAATCCAGAAAAACACGACTTCAAAGTGAAAAGGAACATTGGAAACCAGTCAAAAACACTGAAGATTAATACTGGGCTTCCAGAAACAGGGAGCACAAGGAAAGGGTAAAGGAGTAGAAGCAAACTGATAGAAGCCAGGATAGTGAGAGTGAAGACAAGCTCTCAATACTTACAGGACCATGAGGAAAGAGGAGCAGGTAACCACACAAACACAACGAACCCCCCAAAAAAGAAAAACCAAACAACAAAACCCCTCAGAATTACATGGGACACTATCAACTTAAATAAATTCTATGTGTTCAGAATTCTACAACAGAAAGAGACAAAATAAAACAACAAAAAGGACTGAGGAAAAAAATTGCCAAAGAGTTTTTGGAAATTTTTTCCCTATATAATGAAAAAATGGTAAAATATGCATTCAAGAAGTTGAACAATCCCCAAACAGCAGAGTCCAAAAGAAAAGCACCAAGACATACCATCGTCAAGCTTTCCAAGCTCAAACACAAGGAAGAATCTTTACAGCAGCTTCAGAAGGAAGAAGATTGACCTACCAGGAAAATCAATGAAGCAAAGTTCTAATTTCTGAGCGTAAACCATCCAGAAAAGAAGGCAATGAGAAAACACATATAAAACTCTGGGAAAACTAAGAATCACATACCTAGAAACCTGTCCCTACCATAGAATAGCAATATTAAGACATTTCCAGATAAATAAAAATTGCTACAATTTGTAAAAACCAGGTAAACCTTACAAGAAACACTAAAGGGTGTTCTCTGGACAGAGAACCAACAACAATAAACAACCTGAAATTAATGCACATGACAACAGCACTGAGAAATCAACACAGGGATAGAAATCTCTACAATAAAACAAATGTCCAAGACTGAAAATAGGGAACACCAAGGATATCAATTTGTAAATGAAAATAATTACAAAGTAAAAAGGAATAAATACTGTAGTTATAGATCTTCCAAATGGAGAGAAGTGTACTTGATCTCAAGATTAAACAGATTGCTTTAAGCTTGAGAAGAAATTAATAAAGTATAGAATATTATGTGGAACAAAGAAACCCGTGGACCAAAACACACACACATACACACACACAGAGCAAAATGACACCAGTAAATTCACATCTATTGATAATTACTGAATTGAAATAGATTCAATACACTGGTCAAGAGACAAAGCACAGCAGAAAGGATAAGAAAACACGAACCATCAAGGTGCTGTTTAAAAGAGACCTAACAATCAAAGGATGGGGAAAAAGTTATCTCAGATTTAACAACAATCATGAGTATGGTGCAGGCCTGGGCAGTGTTTCATTTATAGTACATAGGGTTGCTATGAATTAAAGCCCATTCAAAGGCACCTAACAACAACAACGTGAATCAAAAATGAGCAGGAGTGGCAATACTAATTTCTGATAAAACAGACTTTAAGGCCAAACCTAGCATAAGAGCAAAGAACATCATATAGTGAGTTAATGATCTGTGAATGAATGTAGTAATCACAAATATCTATGTATTCAAAAGGCGCTCTGGTGGCATAGTGGTTAAGCATTGGACTGCGATCCTCAGGGTCAGCAGTTCAAAACCAGCAGCAACTCCCTGGGAGAAAGATGGGTCGTTCTACTCCTGCCAACAGTTATGGTTCAGAAACTCATGGGCAGCTCTACTCTGTTCTACAGGGTCGCTATGAGTTGGCATCACCTTGATGGCAGTGAGTTGAGATGCATCCAATGAAAGAACCTCAAAATATACAAATCAAATCCTAAAAGAATTAGAGTGAGAGATATGATACTATAATAATAGACAACTTTAATATACCACTTCCAACAAAGGACAGACTAGAAAGGAACTCGGTAAAGACAAAGAACTGAACAATACAATCAACCCATCTGACCTCAGAGACATACAAGCACTCCACCCAACAAAGAGCCCTCTATATTCTTTTCTAGCACACATGGAGCATCCTCCAGAGGAAACCACATGCTAGCCGCAATAAATGTCAGAACAGCAAAATACCACAAAGCATCTTCTCAGATCACAATACTATAAAATTAGAAAACAACAGCAGCAAGATCAGGGATAGGTGGTCAATACACAAGGAAATAAAATAGCACCTTGCTTAAAAACTACTGGGTAATAGCAGTAAGGATGGCACAGGACCTGGCAGTGCCTCATTCTGTTGTACATAAAGTGGCTATGGGTTGGAACTGACCCACTGGCACTTACAAACAACCAAAAGAGAGAAGAAATAAATGAAATTTTTAAAAATACAGAAAAACAATAGAAAGAATCAGCAAGACTAGATGTTGGTACTTTAAAAGGATAAAATTGACAAACTACTGGCATATCTAGCAAAGGTAAACAAGATGCAAAAAACAAGAATAAAAAAGTAAAACTGTTGACAT